TGATGCTCAAGACACATTTGTTACTATTATTATATGCTGAACACAGTTGTGCAGCTTAATATTTTTGTGGAAACCATGATGCATTTTTCCAAGAATCTGATATAATCAGAAAATTCAAAAGGAACACACTTTTCAACAGTAGTGTACATATGGTAGTTTTGAATATTTATGTATGCTCTCATGAGCTGCAGTCATATCAGCAGTCTAACTTTTTTTTTTATATTTTCATTATTATAATTAATTAATTGCTAGTAATTGAGAATCGATTAATTGGTTAATTGATGGATTTTTTTTTTTACATGGCGCAGGTCAGACACAGAGGTGCGGATATATACTCAGTTTTAACTCTTTTTTTTAAACTAAGTTATTGTCCACTTCCTCTTTTGTAATAAATGACATGGTTGTGTCATTATATGATTTCCATTATTTCTTTGGTGAACTGGCTGCTAAAACAACAGCACATGTTAATAAACAATGCAACTGAGATCCGTCAGATTAAGTATAAAGCGCTAGATGCTACATACAAACTAGAAACAACACAAGGTTCGGAAAACATTCATATATTTTATCACTAGTACTTCTGGTGTTCAGGAATAATAGTATCTTATTGTATTCTGTCCTTTTGTGACTGCAGCTTATTTGCAATAAAAATGGTTTCAAATGCTCTTTCTGACTGTGAAAGATTTAAGTTCTGAAAGTATGTTCTTATCAAAGATCAAAAGGCCCTCATATAAACCTTTAAAGAATGAATTCGCTTAAAATTTGGAGTACCATGTTTCACATTCCTTTATTAATAATTAGTCCTTAAAAAACAATTGTATGGTGATTATGTAACAGGGTTTGTGGCTTTATTAAAACAGTAGTGAAAAGTGGTTCAACTATAATCATAAAATCATTGAGCGCCAGCCCCTAAAACAATGATATGAATTTATCAGTTCCTTCCGTTGTGTGATTTTGAAGGAATGACTTGCCAAAGCATTAGCTGCAAGTCTAAACAAACTGTTTGGACTGAGACAAAAACCTGCAATTAGGTGATAATAGTGTTTGCAGAAATTCCTGCTAGCACATTGGAGAAAAGCTTTGCTTGCTTTCCTGTCTGGCAAGCATGTCTATTATAGGTTAAAATTGTTTAATTTTGCTGAAGTCAAGAGTAATTGTTGTACACATGCCCAATCATTGGACATAAATGGTATCCGAACATGATACACGGCAAGTTGAGTTTCTGATATGATCGTTGCACAGGGAGAGAGCCGTATATGGAGTTTTGATCAGTACAATGATTACCCCAAAAAAGACAAATTTTTATAGTAGATATGTCAGATAGCTCTGAACAACCAAAATAGCTAATTGAAACAGTCACGCTATACTTAATGCACTTATACTTTATAATATTGCATGTTTCTGCCAAGTAATAAAAAAGGTCATTGTAACTTTTTATCTCACTATTTGGACTTTTTTTTCTGCAATTCTGTGAAAAGTCTAAATTGCGAGATATAGGCCTTAAACCATTGGCCTAAACATTGGCCTTTTTCACAATTCACAGTTTATAGAATTGTGACTTTTTCCCTCAACGTTTTTTCTCTAAATTCTGAGTTTACATTTTGCAATTCTGTGATTCTGCGATTTTGTAACCGAGGAGGAGCGAATGTAATTTGTGCCTAATGGATGGAGCTAGCATATCCAACCACACCCTAACCATACCCATAACTCTATCCCTCCACCCCATTAGACGTCCAGAGAGGAGGCCCTGATAGCACACGTACATCACGGAGATGTCTTTTTTTTAGAGTGTTTGCTCATCTGCAAAATGTCTATAGGACGTTTCCTATCAGAAGTCAAATAGATGTTTAGAAAATGTCTTTAAGATGTTTATGATTTAGAATGTATATGAAACTGACATCTGAAAGACATCTATCAGATGTTTGTACACAGCAGATGCTTTCCAGATGAAGCGATCTTTAACAGACATCTTGCAGACGTATGTGCACTATCTGGGTCGTAAATTATATCTGGAGAACAGACCGCAAATGTTCAGTATGTTGTCCTTTTTCATACTATTACAGTGGTATGCAAAGAAAAAAAAAGAAAAGAATCATGAGGAAAAGAATGCAGTTGTCACAATCTGTGATGGCGAGGAACGATGGAGACGAGGAATAAACGAAACAGTCTTTAATCCATGGAACACCGGGTACATCAACACTGGAAACAGCAGGAAACACATCAACGTAATGAGTAGAACCAACTGAGACAGACTGCACAGACTAGGACTTAATTACAGGGGATGATTGGGGAAACACAGATGTATGGGATGACTAATCAAACTAGTAACAAAACGAGGACAGGAACATGACCAAATCAGGGAACAGAAACAGGGACAAAACATGACACATCCTGACAGTGATAATGGCTCTTGCCATATATATTCTTGTTATAACATGTCACGTTAAAATACCATGAGTTACATTATTCTCATTATATCTGAAAATAAATCATGAAGGAAAATCGACAACTCATTCAGTCAAATAGACGGATAAGCTTTATTTGTAGGGCAACCTTATGGTTTAAAATGATTAGTTTTAGTTTTTTTGAATGGAAGTTCCATAATTCAAAATGCAAGAATAAGGTGGATAATAAGTTTGCAAGTTCAGCAATGAAAGTGGCTTAAGCATACAAACCCTTCGCCTACCAACTGCTCTGTGTTTGTCCAATCCATGAACATTGCCACTGGCCACGTTTGCATTATTTAGCATAGCATTATTGAATAACATTTATTCCTCACTAAATATACAGTATCTGGAAACAAACAAAAAAAGTTTAAACATTGCTGTAGCGTGACGCTCCTATTATCACACTATATTTCATAAAAAATAGATTGTATGGGGATGTTATGAAAGTCACATGCAGACCATATGCTACCCAGATTATATAAATGCTTCATAGCATTGCTTGTTTTATTGATGACTCATTTATTGTAGCATGACAACTTGCTGTATGGTTTAATTCTGATGAAAACAGCATTCTTTAGTTTACAGTAAATGCCGTAAGTCAGGTAGTTCGGTCGATCAATAAAAAAAAGACATTTACAGTGTAAGTTTAGACAAATGCAATGCCCTTCTGGTGAAATGTAATTATGTAATTTTAGTAAAACACTGACTTAAATTATAGTTGGGAGCAGATTATTCATTGAGGGTGTTTATGAAAACAACAAAACTCAACCATAAATTTTACATAAATCTTACTGTTGTAACAACAACAGCTCATATTGTTTCTCCATTTTATATATATATATATATATATATATATATACAAACCCGATTCCAAAAAAGTTGGGACACTGTACAAATTGTGAATAAAAACAGAATGCAATGATGTGGACATGTGGACTTTCAATATTTTATTCAGAATACAACATGGATGACATATC